AAGTCTATGGCTCTTTTAATTGTGATGATTTTGGCTCACATTTAATAAAAACCCACCAATTCACTATCTCAACCAATTAGAATATGGTGACATGCCAATCAGCTAATCAACTCAATTTTTAAGAAAAAATGTATTGAGATGCACCTGTATCAGAAAGAGAATCAGAATCAGAAAGAGCTTTATTGCCAAGTGTGTTCACACGCACACAAGGATTTTTTCTTGGTGTTAGGAGCTTCCAGTACAGAAAATACAAACAAAGTGCAGACATACATAAAATGAGAGAATAGACAATAAATTATAAATAACAATAGTAATAAAAGTATACAGAAAAAGGATAAATGTCCATAGACAGAACTGTGAATGTGCATATGTGCTATTTACAGATGAAGGTTTAATGAGTTATTTACAGATGTGCAGTACTGAGGTGTTTTATGTGTTGTTCAGGTGCGATATGGCCTTGGGGAAAAAACTGTTCTTGTGTCTGGCTGTTTTGGTGCACAGCGCTCTGTAGCGCCGGCCAGAGGGCAACAGTTCAAAGAGAGAGAGGGCTGGGTATGGGGTCCAGAGTGATTTTCTTAGCCCTTTTCCTCACTCTGGAGAGGTAAAGTTCTTGGAGGTTGGGTAGAGGGGCACCAATAATCCTCTCAGCAGTCCTGACTCTCCGTTGTAGTCTTCTGATGTCTGTTTTGGTAGCTGAACCAAACCAAACAGTTATAGATGAACACAGGACATATGCAATGATGGCCGAGTAGAACTGTTTCAGCAGCTCCTGTGGCAGGCTGAACTTCCTAAGCTGATGGAAGAAATACAGCCTCTGCTGGGCCTTTTTCACAATAGAGTCAATGTGATTGTCCAACTTCAGGTTCTGAGAGATGGTGTTGCCCAGGAACCTGAATGACTCCACTGCAGTCACAGTGCTGTTCATGATGGTGAGGGGGGTTCCTCCTGAAGTCCGCTATCATCTCCACAGTTTTGAGAGTTTTTAGCTCCAGGTTGTTAAGACTGCACCAGACAGCCAGCTGCTTAACCTCGTGTCTGTAAGCAGACTCGTCTCCGTCATTGATGAGGCCGATGACTGTAGTGTCGTCCGCAGACTTCAGGAGCTTGACAGAGGGGTCCTTTGAAGTGCAATCATGTGTATACAGGCAGAAGAGCAGTGGGGAGAGAACACATCCCTGAGGAGCTCCAGTGCTGATCGCGATAGTCCTGGATGTGAGTTTGCCCAGCCTCACTAGCTGCTGCCTGTCTGTCAGGAAGCTGGTGATCCACTGACAGATGGAGGTGGGCACAGAGAGCTGTGTGAGTTTGTCTGAGAGAAGGTCAGGCATGATGGTATTGAAGGCTGAACTGAAGTCCACAAATAAGATATTGCGTTATTCCCAGTTTTGTCAAGGTGTTGCAGGATGTAATGCAGTCCCATGTTGACTGTGTCATCCACAGACCTGTTTGCTCTGTAGGCAAACTGGAGAGGATCCAGCACCTTCAGGCAGGAGCGTAGATCACGCGGGGGACGTGGAGGACGTGTCACCCCCACTTTTAATATGATGTAAATTCGTCCCCTGCACCATTTCAGGCAAGTGTGTTTGCATAGAGGTTTTCAAAAGCTGGTGTGAATAAATATAGATTTAAATTTAAAGAGACAGGATTGTCTGTGCATGACCTGATGGTTTTATTCGGACCCAGAATAAGACAAGATGAACATCACGGAGCGCAAAACACTCCATGCAGTGTATGTTTCATTCATACTCGAAGCCAGAAGGCACTCTGTGCAGAAAGTCATACCAGGAAATCCCTAATATGGACAAAAGTGTCTATGGCTGTATAAAAACAGTTGTTTACTTTTCACAGAAAAACAGAAACGTTTTTGAAACATGAAGACATTAAACATATGATTGCAACAATATATGGTTTATTTGTGTTTTTCCAAGTCATCTCCAGGTAATAAATAAAGTATATGAACAATGCAGTGCTAATTGACATAGTATTCATTACAGTATAGAAACTATTCTGCCTTATTATGTGATAGTGTTTGTAGTATATAAATGAATCCTTATTATTGATTATTGTCCAGCAGTGTATCTAATTTCTTAGCCAATTAAAAGCTAGAAGTAAGAAAATAATTAAAGTTGCCTATTCACTACGAGTCAAAAGGTTTTGAACAGTAAGATTTTTAATGTTTTTAAAGAAGTCTCTTCTGTTCACCAATTTATTTGATCCAAAGTACAGCAAAACATTAACATTTTGAAATATTTTTACGATTTAAAATAAATGTTTTCTATTTAAATATATTTTAAAATGTACAAACCCAATTACAAAAAAAGTTGGGACACTGTACAAATTGTGAGTAAAAAAGGAATGGAATAATTTACAAATCTCATAAACTTATATTTTATTCACAATAGAATATATATAACATATCAAATGTTGAAAGTGAGATTGACATTGATTTTGAAATGTTGTAGCATCTGTGTGTAATAATACACACTATATATTCTCTTTTTATATGACAAATACTCTGTAACCTCAGTTAACAAGCCATATGAGGACCCATGGACCCTTCCCCCCGGAATGCGTAACACCCCAGGAAGTCGAACAGGCCACTTTGTTGCATGGCAACCAACGCTGATATCACTGGGTTTATTGGCCAAAAGTATGTAAAGCAGGGAAAATCCCTGCTTGTCCCAAGGAAAAGCAGAGTAGAAATGGACTGTGTTCTAGTTAATTCATAGAAAAACCGTTATTTGAATGAACACACATATTTCTTCAGGCCATTGAGTATATTATTGTCATTGTGTATTTTGTCTTTGATATTCTTAGACTATTTTAGTATGCTTGTGAGAGGACCCATTCCTGATCCTCCCTTTTCACTATATGTAATCTTACCTTGTTTAGTATCTATGAATTTGCCTTCGTATGAGCCATGAAATTTAAAATCAACTTATTTTTCCCTTAAAATGATACATTTTCTCAGTTTAAACATTTGATATGTCATCTATGTTGTATTCTGAATAAAATATTGAAATTTTAAACTTCCACATCATTGCATTCTGTTTTTATTCACAATTTGTACAGTGTCCCAACTTTTTTGGAATCGGGTTTGTAATTTATTCCTGTGATTTCAAAGCTACATTTTTTAGCATCATTACTCCAGTCACATGATCCTTCAGAAATCATTCTAATATTCTGATTTGCTGCTCAAAAAAAAAAAAGATGATGATGTTGAAAACAGCAGAGTAGATTTTTTTCAGGTTTCTTTGATGCATACAAAACACAAACACTCTGAGCAAAAGTCTTCCAAAGTCACACTGTAAAGGTGTGACAGAAGTGCCTTCTGAAGTTTCATTTAGGTGTCTGTACACAGACTTAACTGAGGTGGGAGAGCAGACATATTTTTGTCTGTCCTTACACATAATTTTGAGCAGGCACAGAGCAGCCTTAACTCGTACTACATACTGTATGTAGACGATTTTTATGAATCAAAATATGAATTAAGTATAATCACTGTGAATATAGCCATTTGTGTATAAAGTTATTCTACGATTATTATTTTAAAAAGCCCTCTAATGCTTGCACTCTCTGTTCGTTTTCTAACTGCATGTTTTCTTTAAAAAAAGGTCCCTAACACTAGCTTTCTCTGTTCTTTTGTATTCTATCTACTTGTTTTCTTTTTATTTATTAGAAAAAAAGCTCTCTAACACTAGTGTTTCCTATTCATTTTCTATTCAATATGCTAATCTAAAAAAAAAAAACCTTGCTACGTGTACTGCGCTGGGCTATTCGAGACTTGTCATAGCACTTGAATATTATTGCTCTTTTGTTGGTTTTGATTGCTTCTGTTGTCCTCATTTGCAAGTCGCTTTGGATAAAAGTGTCTGCTAAAGGATTAAATGTAAATGTAAATGTGAATAGAAAGTTCAGAAGAACAGCATTTATCTGAAATATAAATATTTTGTAACATTATAAATGTCTTTATCATCGCTTTTGATCAATTTAAAGCATCCTTGCTAAATAAAAGTATTAATTTCTATAATTTTTCTAAATGTTCCAAAAAAAAAGATAATTATACTGACTCTAAGCTTTTCAATGGTATAGTGTATAATGTTAAAAAAGCTTTTCATTTAAGATAAATGCTGATCTTTGGATCTTTCTATTCATCAAATAATCCTGAAAAAATGTACTCAATGGTTTTAAATATTGATAATAATAATAATTAAAAAAGGTTTCTTGAGCAGCAAATCAGCATATTAGAATGATTTCTGAAGGATCATGTGACACTGAAGACTGGAGTAATGATGCTGAAAATTCAGCTTTGATCACAGGAATAAATTTCATTTTAAAATATATTCACATAGAAAACAGTTATTTTAAATTTCTGTCCCCCTCACTTCTGAAATGATTGCTACGCCCCTGCCTTCAGGTAGGCCAGGACCAGTCGCTCAAATGTCTTCATGACCACAGACGTGAGAGCGTCCAGTGATTTGGGGTTTTTTGGGGACCAGAATGATGGTGGAGCGTTTGAAGCAGCAGGGAACTACACTCAGCGCCAGTGATTTGTTGAAGATCTGTGTGAAGACGGGGGCCTCTCTTTCCATAATTGTGGTTATAACTATATGCATTCTTGTTTTTATTCCCCCCCCCCGTGCAGGCTATGCCCATTTTGTTGCTTAAAAAATATATATATATACACTGTATATATATATATATATATATATATATATTTACATTTCTGTCCCCCTCACTTCTGAAATGATTGCTACGCCCCTGCCTTCAGGTAGGCCAGGACCAGTCGCTCAAATGTCTTCATGACCACAGACGTGAGAGCGTCCAGTGATTTGGGGTTTTTTGGGGACCAGAATGATGGTGGAGCGTTTGAAGCAGCAGGGAACTACACTCAGCGCCAGTGATTTGTTGAAGATCTGTGTGAAGACGGGGGCCTCTCTTTCCATAATTGTGGTTATAACTATATGCATTCTTGTTTTTATTCCCCCCCCCCCGTGCAGACTAGTCCCATTTGGCTGCTCAAGAAACTATTGGAGGACCCAGAATGTCTTACGGATCCATTGACGCGGGATCTTTTGGAAGCAGAAATCCATTTGGTGGGCCCACAAGGCAGGGATACCAGCCAGTAGGTAAAGACACATTTTTTTCACACTCACAGGCAGGAGTTCTCTCTATTTATCACCAGGCATTCTTGAAAACAATATAACAATATTATAATATAAATGAGTACCTCCTCATTTACTAAAGCATGGCATTGTGCATTGATTCCTTCTCCATAAACATCATGGGATTAATAAGCCATATGGCTAATTTAGTACCGTTCTGCCTCGTCTGAGTTCTGATGTGTTTAGTAACAAGTAATACACCTCTTGTATTAAACATTTTATTCGATAGTCAATGGTTGAAGAAGAGCTTGTTAGATCATTCAAAATGTTTGAGCATTTCACCAGCTCTGTTAAATCAACAACAACAAAAAAAGCTGCAGCTTAAAATATTACATTCCTAAAAGAAATACGGAAAACTGTTCTGTTGTGGGCAGATTAAAACCTTAAGCCTTAAAGTGTTAGTGAATGCCAGGTTTTATTATATACATGACCTCAACTGATGTACACATAGTGATTAATATCAGAGCAGCATAACCAAGTACGTACATATTGGCTTACTTTTTATTTTTAGTTCACTCTGTACACATAATCTGGGTTGACCTTTCATTGACGCACTTCAGCCATAACCGTAAAACTAAACGTAACAAGCAAGGAAGGAGAACTAAGCATAATGAGATGGTGTTTACTTTTACTCACACTTTCCCTAACTATACTGTGACTAGCAAGTATGCTAAGTCATTTGCTGGTGCTCATGTCATTTCAAATGCTTTCCACATTCTTCTGTGGAACACAAAATAATAATTTCCATTATAACTAAACATATTTCTGTCATGATAACTTTCGGAGAGTTTAGCATGGCAATATACCAGTAGCGAACAGTGACTCTTGAGCCTAGGCCCTCTCCCCCTACCCTCGTCGGGGGAAAAACTAGCAGCCTAGCTTACGGTGTCCTCTTCTAAATGTCATCTTTAACAATTCCACCTCTGAAACAAGAGGCTATCCAGCCTTAAGGCAGTCGCACACTGGACGACATGTGCAGCCCCTGCACCACACCGCACCACGTCTTTAAAATTCCCCTACACATTGTTTTCCATGACTGTATGCACACCGGTGGCGCCACCGGCGACTGTCCACGGATCCCGACTCCGGGCGCTGTTCATAATCCTGCCGCTCCACAGAGCACCTCAGTGCCACTCACATCATTTTCCATTAAATTACATTATATTTGTCCCAAATTATTGTTAATGTACATAATGACTTCATCCTACGTTGGAAGATTTTTCAGCAAAACGTTTGTCTTTCTGTGGCTCTAATAAATTCCGTGATTCATTGTGCTAGAGATCGCGATTTCTCATCCCGTTTGCTGACGCGACGTGTTCAGTGTGTGATACGTTTTGCACCGGGGCACCACTGTGCTTCTCGTCCGATGTGCGACCGCAACAAAACAGCACAGCGAGAGTGACTGATATTACCAAAATAAAACCATAAAAAGTCAAATGGAAATCCTCATTACAAATGCAGCATCACACAATATGTGCACTTCAGCGGGCAAAACGTACAGACACTCCCTCCCATCACACAAAACCAACAAATGTAATGTGTTTAAGACAACACATCATGACAGCACTGACACAAAACAAATTAGCGACAGACACTTCATGACAAACAAGCAGTGTTTATAATATATAATGTTATTATTGGCTCAGCAGTCTAGTAAATGTGCTCACTTATGTTATTTGCGGCTTCCATCGTGACGTGAATAATAGCTAGTTAGTTTATCAGCATATATATTTTTTTTCTGAGAGGTCCCCACAGTGGGCGGAACTTACATCAAGTTAGTGATAACAAGGCACACCCATTTAGAGGAAAGATATGATTGGTCAATTTTTCTGTCATTTGAAATTACTCCCCCATTGATTTACTATTGCTTGGCCCTCTGTAATTTCATAGCTGGACCACCAAACACAGAGGTCCAGCTAGGTGGAAACGCTAGGCGGAAACATTCTAATATGGATAAAATGGGCGTAATTCATAAGTCAATTCACTGATTACGCAGATTTGAAGAGTTCTTTTTTTTCACAAAAGTTGTATTTATTTTATTTAGATGATGTTTGTCAAATTATGAATTGCTTAAAATGTGTAATAATTATATTTTAAAACATTTATTTAAAAAATGTAAATGTTTTTACAATAAGTTAGGCCCTCTCTGATCTAATACAGCCATGAGTCTTTTTGGGAAAGATGCAACAAGTTTTTCACACCTGGATTTGGGGATCCTCTGCCATTCCTCCTTGCAGATCCTCTCCAGTTCTGTCAGGTTGGATGGTAAACGTTGGGGGACAGCCATTTTTAGGTCTCTCCAGAGATGCTCAATTGGGTTTAAGTCAGGGCCCTGGCTGGGCCATTCAAGAACAGTCACAGAATTGTTGTGAAGCCACTCCTTCGTTATTTTAGCAGAGTGATCTCATTGGCTGCTGATGTGAAAAGAAACCAATCAGCTGTGCAGTGTGAATAATGATGTCATTATTTCAGATTGAGTTAGAACCAATCGGCCTGCGCCTCCTAGAGTTTCATGACAGAACTTTGTGATATTGCGAATGTGTACCTGCCTTAAAGGAATAAATCACCCAAAAATGAAAATGTACTCACCTTCAGGCCATCCAAGATCATCAGAACAGATTTGAAGAAATCACTTGCTCACCAATGGAACCTCAGCAGTGAATGGGGGCCGTCAGAATGAGAGTCCAAACAGCTGATTAAAAACATCACAATAATCCACACAACTCCAATCGATTAATGTCTTGTGAAACAAGAAACTGTTTCTAAGAAACAAATTCATTTTTAAGACATTTTAACTTTAAATCATTGCTTCTGAACAAAATACAAGACCATTATCCATAAAAAAACTCTTTATGTTCCTGTTCCAGATCTGTTCTGATGAAGAGCTTATTGATAGATAGATCGATAGATAGATCGATATTTTTGATTGCTTATGGAACTGTGGTGAGCATAAGAGACTTTAGAAACACACAAAGGACAGCTATGCACAAAGAACGTATATATATATATATATATATATATATATATATATATATATATATATATAATATAT